GTCCATTTTAGATCTGCGGCCGAAATGCAAAAATGCAAAAATGGACTCGCGTTTCTTCAAGTGCGGACGTCCCACTGTGGCCGGTGGTAGCCACGACCGTTCGAAACGTGTTTTAAACAGAAGCCCCGTCTTGATGGGGAGCACAACGACGCATGGAGGTCGGACAACTTGACGGATGGATGGTCGTAGCGTGGCACGCTGCAATGTGGGTTGTTGCGGCCACGTGCGACGCCTCGACAGCTCTCGACGGTGATTCATGAGAGAGGCGGCGTTCGAATCGTGACGGGAGGAGGATGTTCGGACTTCAACCTCAACCTACGGTACGTGAGATATGGCTGAGCTCAGTGTTCCGTGTCGACAAGGGACGCCATGTAAGATCCGATTTCTTGCTACTCACGATCGTCCACCATCCTTGGACCGATGGGAGTGTTCGACGCCATCATTGGCGCCTCGAACTCTCCGCCCAGCGGCTACGCATTCTGCGCGGAAGCCAGCACGAGAAGCTAATAACTTCGACTTCGCCCTGCTGCGATCGACGCGGTCGATTTCCGTGACGATGGATGATGATGACACGCAGCGCCGATGGTCCACGTGTTTTTAGTGGTTTAAAACACTTCCAGGTCTAGGGTTCTATTGGTGTGTTTCGAACGTCAGAGCCCGCAACGTTGTTTGCTACGGTACTACGCTCTGTCGTGTTGATGCAGCAGCCACCGTCGACGTCGACAAGCCGAGAGAGGCCTCTGCTTGCTGCATCAACACTGCGAGCAACTTCGTCCGTGACGCCGGCGGTTGCGAATGAAACGCATGAGATCCATAATTTCAGCCAATCAGCACGCGCGCGGATCGAATTCTTGTGGGCATGATGTGGGTGCGCCGGATAAAGATATGGCCACGTAACCGGAACGCACGCCACTCAATTTCGATTGTGGTCCAAAGATGAACATCATCGTCGTTGGGGGCGGGGTCGTCGGCCTCGCGACGGCCTTGGCGCTGCTCGAGGCCGGGCACAAGCGCGTGACGATCGTCGCCGAGAGCTTCGACGACACGACGTCGCATGTCGCCGGTGCAATCTGGCGCCCGTTTGCTCTCTCGGAGAACTCGTCGACAGCGGCAATCGAGTACGTACAGCCGATGGCGGGAGCTGCGTCATGTTCTCTCTAGTCGCTGGGGCCATGCCACGATGCAGTGGCTTGCCAAGCTATTGCGCGAACATGGGACTGACGTCGTGGGCATCCATCGCGTGACGGGCCGCGAGTACCATGATACGCCCACGGTGTGTCGTCGCCGCGTCAGACGTCGCCGTCACCGCTAACCACTCGCGTAGGCGAGCCACCCGTACTGGGCGCACTCTGTCGAGGACTTTCGATTTCTCTCGCCGGCCGAAGCCAGCGCGAACGGCGCGCCATACGGATTTGCATACTCGACGCTTCTCGTGCATCCCGGGTGCGCATACTTCGTTGGTCTATGCGCATGCTTATATTCTTATCCAATGATGTAGAAAGCTGCTACCGTGGATGCGCAACCAGATCGCGCTTCTCGGCGGGCGCTTCGAGACGCGCCGTGTTGCAAGCTTGGACGAGCTCCAGTGCGACGTTGTCGTCAACTGCACAGGTACGACAGACCTCTCAATGCCAGAACGATATATATAGCGTGTTGAAGGTATGGGGGCCAAGCAGCTTGTGCCGGACGCCAGCGCCTTTCCCGTCCGCGGCCAAACCATCAAGGTAAACGCCAAACGATATGCCTTGATCGTTGGTTAAACGTTTACATCTAGATCTTCAACCCCGCGATCAAGGAGTTCCAGATGCACGAAGTCAACCACGTGTACACGTACATCTTGCCGCGCCCGGGGGGCGAAGTCGTCTTGGGTGGTACGGTGCAAGCGCACAACTACTCGACGAGCTGCGACGAAAGCGACATCGCTTCCATTCGTGCGCGCTGCGAGCGCATTTGCCCGCTCGTGGCCGGCTCCAAAGTGCTCGGGACCAAGGCGGGTTTGCGTCCGCAGACCGCCAGCGGTGTCGTTCTCCTCGCTGCGCCCCGTCGCAATCGCCACGGAGCGCTCGTGATCCACAACTACGGGCACGGTGGCAGCGGCCATACATTGCACCGGGGCTGCGCGCTCGACGTCTTGCAGTGGGTCCCTCCCGCCAACGCCAAGCTCTAAGTTCTGCTGGAACTGCTGGAACCACTGTCGAGATCGCGAATTCGATGCAATGTAAACCAAACATTACTCTGCTTTTGTCGGGCGACACTCTGTTGTAAGCACTGGCTCCTCCATTTTTGCGGGCGCAGGCCCGAAAAGTTCCTCTATCCAATCTTTAGATCCCATATTGTTTTTTGTCGAAATCATATTATACTTGGTTTTTGTATGTGAATTTATATTATTGCATAAGCGCCTGGTAAAAAGATTTTTGCGGGCTTCAGCCCGCAAAAATGGCGTCCAATCACAAGCTACAAAAATCGTAGAAAAGCCTCCTTTTTTGACGAATCAGTGCTAAGAAGAAATGGAAGCTGCGATCCGTAAGGCATGGCAGCGAGCTTGGCAGCGAGCCGAGACAGCGTGTGCGAGATCGACCTCTCGGAGATCGACCTCTCGGAGTTTACGATCAAAGACGCTCGGCACATGCGCATCACAACGTCATCTCGGAAGACGTACGAGAGCAACCTCAACCAGATAAAGAAGTGAGTGCGCGAGGAGTACGAGGAGCTCGGTCTCCTGGAGCCGTGC